TTTTAATATTTTATATATTTCTAAATAATTAAAGAAAAAAACAACTACTACAACACAACACAATATCACCAAAATAAGCCTCACTAATTATCATTTAAATTATGCATCGATTTTAGATTTGAAGTTATTTTCTAATCTAGTAAAATATCGCTTATAGCTTATAAAAATTATCATGCAAATGAGTGTTTTTTTTAAAAAAAAACAGCAACGCAAAATGAGTTTTGACTAATTGATAGATCAAGTATAGGTTTTTAAAATTAATGAACAAAAGTTTAAAGGTGATTAAAATCAAATACCCATTTGCCGCTTAATACTATGTCAAATTATGATATGCTTAATTTAATTATCCCAAGTTTTCATCCATATATATGATGAGCTCACATCATCACATCTGACGGCTGAATACACTCCATTCTCATCGTAGCAACGATGTTTTCGTCACACCGTTTTTCCTTTGATGATCACCATTAAACCAAAACACCATAAACAATTTTGATTAGTGGTTGTTAATAGAGCCACCACAACTAACCACAGTTTAAGTCCACATCACCACCGTATAAATAATCACATGGTCGGTCAGCAATCATTGCGGGACCCAGTTAGTCGGTGTTCAACTGTTCATAAATTTCTCCACTGTCCATAGTCAGTTTAAGTCCACATCAACCGTACACGTGGCAACATGGGAATGAATTGGAGGCCCAGCCCAAAACTTTTCTCGGACAAGAACAGCTGGCCGCCGATAAAAGGCCTCCCCCTTTTTTTTTTCCTCGTTGAATATTAGCTGTTACCGGGTGGAAACTGGCTATTCCGGTTCACACCCGTTGTTTCGAACCCCCTATATATAACTGTCACTGAAGAGACTAAAAATACAAGAAGCAGGACAAGTTGGCCTTTTGAGTAATAAACCTCAAAAAAATTTTAATTTTTTTTTTTTTCACTCAAAATGCCACTTGCGGTTGCCGTTGGATCAGCCTCTGAGTTCGGCCATGGCGAGGCCCTTAAGGCTGCGCTAGCTGAGTTTATCTCAATGCTCATTTTCGTTTTTGCCGGTGAAGGCTCCGGCATGGCTTTCAGTACGTGATATATATTCTTACAGTTCAGATTGTAAAATATCTAATTCTTTATATTTTTATGCAATTCTCAAAATGTTAATAATATTTGTGTTTAATTTTGGCAGACAAGCTTACCGACAACGCCTCAACCACACCGGCCGGCTTGGTGGCGGCCGCATTGGCTCATGGCTTTGCACTGTTCGTGGCAGTTTCAGTTGGCGCCAACATTTCCGGCGGCCATGTAAACCCTGCCGTCACATTCGGTGCCTTCATCGGTGGTCACATTACTCTCGTCAGGAGTGTTCTTTACTGGATTGCCCAGTTGCTTGGATCCGTTGTTGCCTGCTTGCTTCTCAAGTTATCCACCGGAGGATTGGTAAGTCTTCAAAAAAAAAAAATCGGCAGTAAAATTTTAACATTTTTACTTAGATTTAATTTGTTTCAATTTAATTTTTGTATAAAATTTAATTAAATAATTTTATATGATA